TGATTATATTGAGAAGATGTCTGTTTAGTCTCTTTGAACTAGTGAATATGAGAAAAATGATTTTAAATATTTCCTGGTGTTCAGATCATGTCAAGTCCACGCCAAAACAAGTCTGTGCAGAAAAGTGGGGTGTAGGACAATTCCCCCGATTCCAATTCCCCCGCCTCTATTTTCCCCAAATAATAATCCCCGATTTTTAAATCCCCGGTCACAAAAATCCCCGAAATTAAAATGCCCGTTTTTTAAAATCCCCGAGTGTTATTTTCCCCGATTTCAATTTCCCTGCTTTTTGTTGAAATCCCGCATAATAAGAATCCCCGATGTACAATTTCCCCCGAAAATAAAAAAAACTGATGGTTGGACAATTGTTTTTCTTATTTCTGAGTGACAAAAATTGAATTTAACAAGTATAATTGAATAACAATTAAAATAACATAAAAATGAAAAAAATGTAAAATTTGAAAAAAAGACACAAAGTAAAAATTGAAAAAAACAAAAAATGTAAAAAAAGCCACATCAGCAATAAAAAAATTATTAATTGTATCTCAGTTTCACTGCTTTAGCTGTTTCCTTTGAAAATTTTTCCAGACTAATTTTGTGCCTGTTGAACAATTGACACAGATTCTTCAGGTTGGCATCCCTCTTCTTCTGCTCATCTCAGGGTAGAAAAAGGGATTTGAGGATGAAGTTGGGGAAAAATCCAATTTTTTTTTCTTTTTGCACAGAAAAATTTTGTGGGAAAATGAAAGAAATCCTATGCTAAGCAATGGGCTTTTTATTGGATTAATCCCAACTTTGCCTCAGCCCACCTGGAAGGTCTTTTCTGACCTTCAGAAAACTTAAAACACCACAGCATGCGAAAATAATCCAATTTTGGCCGAATTTTTTCATTTTCGCTGATATTTTGTATACTGTATTTGGGGATTTTGCATTTTCGGGGATTTTAGTAAATGGGGATTTTTATTTCGGGGCAATTAGACACCGGGGGGAATAAACGTCGGGGATTTTAAAAATCGGGGATTTTAGGATCGGGGATTTTAGAGCGGGGGGAATAGAGGCGGGGGAATTAGAATCGGGGGAATTGTCCGTTTCCCCCCGAAAAGAGCTCAATGAAATTACACTACGAGTTGCAGGACGTCTGTCGCAAATGTTAATGTAGTACGTGATGCAGATTGATTATGTGACTGGAGTGACATGGATATTCAATAAGTCACATGACTAGAATGAGTTTCAATTTCAAATTTTCTGCGCGAGGCTGTTATTATTTTCCTCGTGGAGTGACTCTGAGAAAATTGCTGGCGTGTCGAGAACGCAGTGATCAGCTGCTCAAGTACGGTTTTTAACGCGCTTAATACAAACATTTAGGCTACGAATTTGACTCTTCGTCTCTTTCCAATAGTGTTCCGGGAATGCGGAGAAACGTAGAGCCGAGACGGACATCATGTCTCCTTCCAGGATATTTAGGCCAGATTTGGTGGCCAGAGAGCCAGAGTCTGTTGTTGCTTCCGCAGTACGTGCAACGTATGAAAAGCCGAAAATTCCTCCAAAAATTTTGGAACAAGCACGAAAAGCGAAGGTCTCGGATTTTACTTTCACTCCTGATGGATTTGCCAGCTGTTATACAGACGGATCCTGCAACACTTCATTGAAAACGTCCGGAGTTGGAGTTTGGTTTGGACCGGATCACGTTGCGTAAGTATTTTTGTCGCTCATTTCCGCTGGCCTGAAAATTCCGAAAATTGAATAAATTTCTGTAATTGGCTTGTTCTTTGATTTGTTCAGTTTAGAATGACCTCTGTATATCATAACGCAGCTAGATAAACATTTCTCTGTTTAAAAGAAGGGCAATCCGAAATACAGTATTTTCTGACAACCGGCCCAATTTCGCTCACCCGGGTACGAGATAGGTAGTAATTACAAGGAATTAAACCTATGAATATGGGAGGAAATATTCTTTACGTAATCTTCTATTATATAATGTACGTGTAGGGTGTGCAAGTGATGCAGCTTTTGTGTAAGAAAATTTCTTGCGGCGCGAGATGAGGGCTATAAAATATAGGAAAATTTTGTGAAATCCAAANAAAATTTTATGAGAGTCAAAGCTGCGAAAGATATTCGTTAATCGGATGAGTTCAATTGATTGATAATTGGTATTATGAAAACTAATCTGAAGGAGGGAAATGCTTGACAGATCTTATACCTCGTTCGTCAAATTTTTGTTTATTCCTCCTTACATTGTTTTGCAGGAACATTTCAGAGCCCCTGGCCGTTCCGGGCACAAGTAACCGTGCAGAACTGACTGCCGTACTCTATGCGATCCACGTTGCAAAGGAAGCTGGTATAGTGAAAAAATTTAGACAATCTGCATCGTAGTGTGTGATAAATTCATCCTGATGTTATTCCGCAGGTTTGATTAAGTTAGAGGTCCGTACCGATTCCACTTACGCCAAGAATTGCGTCACTGTTTGGCTGCCGAATTGGAGGAGCAACAATTGGCAGACAACTGCTAAAGAAGATGTCCTGAATCAAAATGAAATCCGAGCTATCGACGAAGCCTGCAATTATTTGGAAGTGAAATTTGTGAGTTTTTCCTTTTATATATAATTTCGCCATGAGAAAATTCACTTGTATATGTAATGTAATGTTTTAATAGATTAAATTTGTGTCTCATATTGAATGTATTTCTTGTTTCATCAGTCTTTCTGGGTACAGCATACTGTATCATTAAACTGAAAATTTCCTTCACACTCTATGAAAGTTCAAGGTGCCTTCATTTATTCGAGATTGGTTGCATGATCATGATATGAAGTTCTAACGGCATTCTTCAATTTAATGTATTGTACATGGAAATTCATGCAGCTATCCGTCGAAAATAAGAGAATACTGTTCGTCACTAGAATGGAAAATTTAAAACAATGTAAAAGGTGATGATGATCATGTGCACTAGTGCTCCTTGTTCTCAGTGTTGCTTTCGTCTATAAATGTTTTTATCTTCATAGCTGGCTTATTTTTCAAGAATTGATGCGTAATTTCTTTTCAAAATATTTTAGAAGTGGATACAAGCTCAATCCGGTGAAAAAGGAAACGAAGCTGCGGACCGATTGGCGAGGCTTGGTGCGGCTGAATCGTTGAGAATTTCGAAGACTTGAAAATGGCCCATTTTTTTGGCTGTCTGAAGCATTTTGAAGATTGTATAATCTCTGACAATCTTCGGGATCTTCTCGCCAGAAGCTAACAGAAGTGAAGCAATGAGTGAACTCCAAGCTTCGTACATTCGTGCGAATGAAAAGTTTCTTGTGTGCAGTGCTTAACTTTTTAGTAGGTCGCCAAGTTTTTCTCCACAACTTCTCCACAATTGCTTATTGGACATTGTAAAAGAAGATGTTTATTTTAAAAATAGGGAGGAATCCTTCCGGTGGGGGAATTCGTCCCGATTTTTTCGCACCATTTGGAACAATTTCGCAAAAGAACCCGTGTATGTACGCATGAATACAAAATGAAACAAACCAGAAAACTCAACGAGAACATGATCCTCGTGCTGTTGGAAGATGCTTGTTGTTTTTTGAAATACAAGCTTTCTTTGTCTGGTTGTTGTATCAATTTTTGTTATCCTGAGGTTCTATTATTCATTTGTTGCATTTTTTCGTACTAATTTTGTTCTCTAGGTCGTGCTTCGAAAACTTGAAGTGGAAGTGTTCTGGATTTTTCTCATTGGTCTCCGTGCGGTATTACGCTGGTCAGAAGGTGTCCGACGCGGGATTTACAATTCTTGGTGTGTAACCTTGAGTCCACCCTTCTAGAACACTCGTCAACTCAATTTCTTTTGCTTCATGTAGGCGAGAATGTGAGCCGCAGGTGTCAAGGTCTAGTTGGGCCGAGTGCAGGAATGCAATACAGTACTGTACTTCGGAAGCGACGAAACATTACATGAATGTTCTGGCACGTATTTGGTGAGTTTTGCCCTACGGTTTCTAAAATTATATATGCGATTCACAACGTCATTGTCTTACATTTACACTTTTTAAGAATATGAAATATGATTTTATTTTGAATAAGGCTCTCCAAATGATGCGAGCACCACACTGAAGAGCTGCTTTTAAAGCTTCTTTTGAGTTTTTCAAAATTAACACTTCGTTCATGAGGCAGTATTCATTCTTATTTTGCGTTTTATCCCCATTTATATTCTGTTTTTGCCCCAACTGCAATGGGCTGTTGTAAGACAAGGCAACAGTCATGACAAACTTATTTTATGAGGCAATGATATACTTGAGTTATTCCATCCTGCTTCAAGTTTATTTTGTTGTTTTTATTAATGTGTTATCCTAAGATTACCCTTGATGTTAAATTTGGGCTTGAACCCCTTGAAACTAAAGCAGAAACAAACTGCTTTGTCTAGCAGGGAGACAACTTTACCAGCCTTGTGGCTCAAATAAATTCAAGTCTGTGGCGCAAATAAATTCAAGTTTTTAAATCTTAATCTTAGTTTTTAACAGGCATGTTTTGTTCCCTTGATGGGTTGCATTGAACCCCCCTCATTTGCCTCAACCCTCTTCATCCACCAAAACTCATGTCTCCTGCGCGAAGCTCCTCATCATGCCTACATCCTTGAAGCATTTCCTCCCCTGTATAATCATATCCAGCCATTTGGGTGGGTGTAGTCCCAAAGGCCCCCTATGTCAAAAGCCCCTCCCCCCCCCCCTGCCAAAAGCCGCCCCTAGGTGCAGAAATTGGTGATTAGAGGTATTCTTGTAACTCTTGATGGTAAGCTGCACCTTTCACCAGCATTCCCAGCACAAGGCCAAGTATCAATGTGTTGGTAAGTTGAGTATTTGAAGTGATTCTTCACCTGCAATGGTCATCAGTGATTTTTTGAATTTAATAATCATCTTCAAAATTGCCTGCTGCTGCCTCTTCCTCACTGTCACTGATGCTCTCCATGTCATTTTCTTTTGAATAGCCCATGTAGTATGCAATTTGACTGCTCCTCTGATTATTGATGATGTGAAGTGCACTAGCCATTGGACCAACAAGGTGAACTGTAGATTTTGCAGAAGTCAGCAAATGATGCTTTGAAAAGTCTTAATTTAATGTATTGGGACAGTTTATAGAAACTTCAAGAGGAAGTACAATAATTGAATGTGCTGAAAATTACGAAAGTGTTCAAATGAGTTCGATCCTTTGGTATCATGCAAGTTTTGTGTTAGGCCTTCGATCTTTAATTTGTTAGAAGAGAAAATTGGACGAGCGAATCGGAAAATTTCTTTGTCCAAAACTGCGGATTTCGGAGAATCCTATAATACAGTATATCCTGATGAAGGGAAACGGACAATTCCCCCGATTCTAATTCCCCCGCCTCTATTCCCCCCGCTCTAAAATCCCGGATCCTAAAATCCCCGATTTTTAAAATCCCCGACGTTTATTCCCCACGGTGTCTAA